CCTCAGAACATTGCAAAAACATCCCTCCGGCCAGACATGATAATTATTTCTGAGGCCTCAAAACAGCTGATCATGCTGGAACTCACAGTGCCCTGGGAAGAGCGAATCGAGGAGGCCAACGAAAGGAAACGAGGAAAGTACCAGGAACTAGTGCAGGAGTGCAGGGGAAGGGGCTGGAAGACTTTCTATGAGCCCATAGAAGTGGGTTCTAGGGGCTTTGCAGGACGATCACTCTGCAAAGTCCTAGGCCGGCTGGGCATGGCTGGGGCAACCAAGAAGAGGGCCATCCAGGCTGTGAGTGAAGCGGCAGAGAAAGCCACAAGGTAGCTGTGGATCAAGAGGGCTGATTCGTGGGTAGCTACTGGTACGCAAGTCGGGGCCTGATCACCCTGGGCGAGGGTGTATGATGTTGTGAGACCCGAAACACCTGATGACCTCAGGATACATCACTGAAGATGCGTACCAGTGCATCCAGGAGATGTGTCTTTATAGTTAAACTCTGGCTGAGCCAGTGACGCCTAGGAAGAGACTAGGTGACAACCAAGAAAGTTTGGTGACTACTGGAGAGACAGATGACAGCTCGGAAAGACGGCTCCAGGGGCAGGGTGGGCTAGCATCCCGGTCTGCAGTTTTCGTGAGGTAGCACCCCAAAAAGCTACGGAAAGCTCTAAAGAAAGATACTCCCAGGAGATCCCGAGAGGGGGGGAGGATGAGGTCTCCAATCGGACGGACTCAAGGTTAACGACCAACGCAATGGAAAGGACTACGAGTAAGACATGTATCTGCGGCAAGCTGTGTAAGAACCAGCGTGGCCTAAAGGTCCATCAGGCTAGAATGAAATGTTTGGAGCGGGAGAGTGAGGTGCAACGCACAGGTCCTGAACCTGGTGAGACGCAGGAGGAGCCCGGCCAGGAGGCACCCCACAGAGCCCAGTCCCTCCATGCACTGGACTCTTCCAATCCAAGCAGTGTAGTTCCACAACAGCGGATTAAGTGGCCCCAAGCCAGCAGCCGGAGCGAGTGGTAGAAGTTTGATGAGGATGTCTCCAACATCATACAAGCTGTGGCCAAAAGAGATGCCGACAGCAGGCTTAAAACAATGACCACCATCATAGTCAGCTACGCCTCAGAAAGGTTCGGCCTGATCGAGAAGTGTAACAACAAGACCCCTTACACCATGAACCGCAGGGCCATGAAGATTCATCAACTGCGCCAGGAGCTCAGGAGCCTTAAGAAGCAGTTCAAGAACGCTGATGCCGAGGAGAAGCAAGCTTTAGAGGAACTGCATAACATCTTGCGG